CCAATCTTCTCCATTGTCGGCAATCTCTTCAGTAATTTTACCAGACACTAAATAGAATAGATTATTGTAGAGCAACTCAATTCTTGGTGATATCATTGGTTTAAGAAATCTTGTCTTTTTGATGATATTTTCCCTAGTCTGCCCTCCTAAACTCCAGATTGTATCGTGTCTACTTATACCAGTTTTATGAGCAAGAAAATCTCTTAGAGTGTAATCATGATATCTATAACCAGACCAAGCTGTGAATCCTGACCATAAATCTTTAACTTTTGTATCAATACTTAAACTTAAAAAGAAAAAGAGATGGATTTTGGCCTAAATTCGTTAATTTTTGTTTAATAAATCTCTTTATTCTTACTGTTTTTCCGTTAATAACTTCATTATTAATTGAGCTGTAAAACTTTTAGTTATTGAACCAATAGGAAATTTAGTATTTGGTGTTACAGGCTCATTTCTTCTTATATTAGCCATACCATAACCTTTAGTTAAAATAATACTTCCATTTCGAACAACAGCTAAATTAGCTCCAACAAAATTTCTACATTTTACTAAGCCACCAACATATTCATCTATTTTTGTGACCACCTGTGCATTGGTTAGTCTCCATGAAATACTTGAACTATAAATAACTGTAATAGCTGAAAAGAACAAAAACAAAATAATTTGCTTTCCTACCATTTTCAAATGTCTGTTTAACCTTTAGAACAAATTTGAGCGTATTTATTGCTTTAGAAAATTATCTTATCAAAATTGACGTTAATCTTAAAAGATAAACTGGAACTGTCTTATCAATATTTCTCATATGATTAGACTGATCCCCTAAAACTTTACCTTTAGATTATCTTTTGAGTCATATAATGGCAGTTTTCCCAGAAAAATTTCTTAAAATCTGATTCTTGGAAATATCTCTTAAGGTGACCCCACAAATGCTGCAATGGAAAGGCCTCAGTCTGAGGAGGCTACCTTGTCAATCGTAGCAATTCCTTCTGCTTAGTAAGTATGCTTAATATATTTTTCAACGGGTAAAAGTTGCAAACTGCTATTAAAACATCACCAGCTGGTTTATTACAATTTGCAAAATTCTTTTCAAACTAAACAAATTTTATCTTGCAATTTTTAATCTCTCTTTTATTAAATTTTTACAATGATTGGTAGCATATGTCGATTGTTTAACCATAATAAACTCAAGAGTTTTCAATGCTTCAACCATGTTTGGAACACAGGTCACATAAAACATTGGTAAATTCATTAAATTTAAATTAAAAAGTGATGAGAGAGGAGAGATGGTGAAAGAGAAAGAAAGAGAGAGGTAGTAAAATTTCAAATTTAAATAAATTTTTTGCAGCATTACCTTATTTATTAAGTAAGATTGGAATGATTTATAAATTTTGTTGTAATTTTACATTTGATTAATAAATATCATTGATACTGTCTATAAATCTTACTTGATTATTAAACTTTCATTAGATTCTATTAAGCCATCAAAAATTTATTTTAGTGTAAGTATTTATTGGAATTTGTAAACATTTAAGAAGCTGTTTCGAGGATGAGGACTCTGAGCAGAGATTCAGTAAGAAGGTGGGTGGCTATCTAACATCTAAGGGTTAGGGCTATTCAAAAAGGTTAGGCAAAAACAAGGGCTGGGTTAGGGTTAGGATAAAACCATACATTTATGGCCGTTTTCTACCACATCCGTGAAAAACTCTCTTTAATAAAATTAGGAAATTATCATTAAAAAAAGTGTATGAATCATTCCAATTGTACTTAATAAATAGAGATTTTATCAATGACTCAAAATGTCTAAATGGTATATTTAATATTAAGTTTTCTTCATAGTTCTGTTGAAATTGTTTTTGTCACATATCTTAATCACAGAGATTATTCATCAAATAAAGAATTTCTTCTATATCAAGAAATGAGAAACATTCTTCAATGTAAAGTATGCTTATGTCAACTTGCTAATATTCTTATTTTGCCATGCAGTCATGTTGTGTGTTGTCAGGAATGTCTGAGCAATCTTCCTAAACCTCAATGCCCATTATGTCGTGAATATACTCGAGGATATGTTATAACTAAAACAGATCTGCAAATGCTAAACTTGGACTTTGAAAGTAATTTATTAATGGATAAGGGTGATGGGAAATTTATTGGAAGTGAATGAAACAATTGTATCATTTATAAAGAAAAAGTACAAGGAATACGACAGAAAACGTCCCCAAATGAATGGTTTAACCCTAACCCTAACCTAGCCCTTGCCACTTCCTAACCTTTATGATTACCCCTAAGCTTTAGATGGAACCCCTCTAACTATAAATTAAAAGCTACTTTACCCCTCCTAACCATTTTTAAATCCGAAATGTTACTTTCAAAAATCTCACTTGGGGACATTTTCTGTCGGCCCCGTTGTCTTTCATGAACTTGATATAATAAGCAAATCCAGTAAAGAGTAGAATATCCTTTCCTTTCTAACTTCCTCCAGTTGTAATTTCAATTTTTTGTGATATCAGAGCAAATATTACATTTGAAAACAAATACATCTATTGTGAAAATATAATTATTCTAACAGAATTAATTCATAAATTTGATATAAAAATTGGGCTATCAGAATTAATGGTGTCCGGATTTTTTAGTCAATTACTTAATGTTTATATTCCTTATAGAAAAGTAAATGATTAAATGATAAAAGATAAGAGTAGTTTATCAGAAATGTTGTAGTTTTTTTTAAAGATAATAAGAAACAAAATTAGATAATAGTGTTCACACCAATTAAAATTTAATTATTCAATACGTGACTTTTATAAACTCTGTCAGGAATTTGCCCTGACACAATTTCTAGTTTAAATAAAAATGTAATTCTAGCGAAATTGTTGAAAATTTATCACGTGACTTTGCTAAATACATTACAATAACTACTTTTGTATTATATATTGCAGTATTACTGTTTGGTATAGCCGTTTCAGATTTGGTTAGATTGATTGATGTAATGCATTTGGAGGATGTTTAATTCCAGCTTTTTATACTTATAATAATTAATAGTAAAATTGTAATTACATTGGTAAAAGTTAATAATCAAAGAGCCCAATTAAATGAACTCAAAGTTGAAATGACATCTGATAAAAAGTTTAATCAAATGACTATAACTTTACTTTTTTTTATCTCTATTTACTATATAATATCTTCATCACCTTGGCACATTACTAACGTGATTTACTACTTTAATGACACATTTGTATCTTTAAGATATAATGATATAAAAGCTGTAAGATATTCGAGATTACTTGGTCCGCTAATGCTCAGTAAAGTTTTGTATGGGTGCCATCAAGCTACTAAATTTATTAAAAATTGTAACTGTATTGAAAAAATCTCCTCTTCTGAAACATTCTTTATCACTTTTGCTTATTAATGAAAAGAGAAACAAAAATGACCTATTTTTAGGACATTTTACAATCCAATTATTTCAAAATATACCTACAGATGTAATGATTTTTTCCAATACATTTTGATATATTATAATATCATAGTGCAATTTGTTGCATTGATAAAGAAATTGATATTGTGAGTTCCATTCATTGTCTATGATTTTTATATAATTACAAAAAGATATCCATAAATTTGTTCCATTTTTTGGAGTAAGAATTGAAATGTGCTCATCAATATTTCTGCCTTTAATTAAAACATAAAAAAAGAATGGATTCAAGCTATTTGTTGCCTGTTTCCCTGGATAGATCAGCTTATTAAAGTTTTTAATACAAGAAGATGCAACTGCAAATATCAAAACAAATGAATATTTGAAAACATTTTTTTTTATTATCTTACAAACCTTTATGACTTATTTTTGAAACTGCAAAAATATCAACTTCACTGATTCCTATATTGTCTTGTGAGATTAGTTGTATTTCCTTTGTCAGCATAAATTCAAATTCCAAACATACAGTATGAGAAAATAAGAAATTTCCAGATGTTACTTTTTCACTAACATTGTTATGTAGGTAATTTTTTACTTTTACTAAAATTCCAGATTTATAGGTTGGACCATTGAATGCTAAAAGAAAAGAGAAATTGCAGTTTTTACTCGAATTTGATAAAAATGGTAAAAAAAAAAGGGATTCGAACCTGTTATACAAATATAATTTAAGTGGATAAGCCTAGTTGTTAATACAACTTTGTTATTTATAGCTAAGCTTATCTTTCCAGTTGAATCAGAAAGATAGTAGATACCATCTTTTAATAATATGAAATTACTATTAGACAATGCAACATCGTCAAGTTTTGCATCAGTGATATACGAGTTGAAATTTTGTCCATTTCCTTTCATTAATCAATATGTTTCTCAGTGTTAGATTTTTTTTTAAATTACATCTATTTACTCACTTTGTAGCTCATGTTCATCGAGTAGAGATACATAGAGGTTTACTTCACTAAACTCTAAAAATCTATCTCTGGGAGGTGAATCATTCTGAATAATAAGTACATATCTTCCTTCAAGTGTGGGATTGCATTGAATATTGATTAATTCATAAACTGTTCTAAATGTTCCATTAAAATTTTGAACACAAAATTGATGATTTGGATTATAAACTGATTCAGGTATTTGATTTATCGATATATAAACATTTTTGAATCTCTTTAAAGTAACTAAGGAATAAAAATGAAAGGAGAGAAAAAGAAATGAATCTATTGAACAGTATAAAATACGAACGATCATTGTGCAACGAGACAAAAATGATCCGATGAAATCTCTTTGTAGTTATAGTATCAATTAGGTAAAATGGATAGTGATATTCACCCATTATATGATTTCTAGAGTGAAAGATGGTTCTAAAATTATTATCAAAACCTCCTCTTGGTGGTTGATTTTCACCAATTCCTCCATGTATTTCTTTCACATTTGACATATCTAGCTGATGAAAATCTTTATGGTAAAAATTTGTATTAGTATTTCTTGTCTAGACAAAGTTTAAAGAACTTTTTTTTTTGTTTCACCTCTATCCTTTTTAATTAGATCTCCATAAATTTCAACATCACACAAAATCAACACTACATTGTTTCTTGTTAGTTGTATAGTAACAAAGGAACCAATTGATCCTGTATTACAGCTATAACAATTGTATTGCGAAATGTCTGTTGAAATTGGTCTTTTAACCGGACCAGTTACATATTTACAAATGGTTTGATGGTCTTTTGGGAAATTTCCAACAAAAATATTAAAATCTTTCAAATTTTCATCTGAATTAAATAGAATATGTGAATGTTTTTTTCAAATATTTTTTTAAAAGTCAATTATAAACGTACAAGAAGAATCATCTACACTTAAAATGCAGACTTTCGTAACGGAATAAACCTTTTCAAGATCAACAGACCACCAAGATACATCTAAAGGGTCTGCATCCGTAACTGAGCAGTAATCCGTCTGTAAACAAATGAAAAAGTGCAAAGACAATTACTCTACTTTAGGAGATGTTTTTCAAGTGTAAATGTGAAAGGAGTGTATAGAATTTTCATTTGATCTTGAATATCTCTTAGAGATACAAGAGAGATTGTCGACTCTAATTGCGAGCCTTAAGAATATTTGTCTTTGACACTCAACATAGCAAACAAGCTTTATTTTGTTCACATTTTATCAGGGAAATACTTTTAGTTTAACTTACGCCATCACCAATAACAATACCATTGTTAAAGTTAGTTGCAAAATGGGGTTTCTTTGGTACAGTTTCGCGTCTAGTTGAGCTCTGAAAACAAAATTTTCCACTTGCCAAATTTGTTGTTGATGATATTTGTATTTTAATGTTGAAACCTGAAAATCCAAATAGCTTAGAGGTTTTTTAAAAAAAATTTTTCTCTAAAATCAAGAAATACAAACAAAGAAAAAGTAAAAGAATTGTGTAGATTTCCATAGTCCTTATGGTATTTTTGTGCGATTTAATTAGGCCTTTCACCTTTTGTACAGTTTTTATGTTAAAAGAAATTCTAATGGAATTTATTTTTCATAAGCTTTATCATTAATAAAAGCAGTTAATCAATTGTAATATTAATTAAGACAAAAGAAAACGTCTATATCTAGACACAATATGATCAAATAAATTCATTGCAATTTTAAATTCTGGTAAATAACTGCATGCGACTTTTTCACAATAGCAATAGTCATTTTTAATATCATTTTCCATTGATTTTTCCTTAATGGCGCGAGAGTGGAGACATCTAACGGCGAGGAGATATACTTTATTGTTACATGTATCTTAACAGATCTCTGTAGCGCCATCTTAAAACGGACTGATAAAGTCTCCTGTCAGCGAGTCTGGCAAGTTGGGCATCTGAAATATCGTTTTCTTCTGGTTGTTAGCTAGACAGATTTTTATCTTTTCAAAACATTCTTTATGCCTATTATAGGGTATATGGAATGTTCGCATTCGGCCAGTTTCATCCAGATTACTTTGAGAGATGTATGATTGTATCCCTAATTCTTAATATTTCAAGTTTTTCCAATCGGCCATATTGTTTCAATGAGTTGTTTGTTTGTCTACTAATTTACATATTAAAATGGCGACGACTAATTGAAAAATATTTTTTCAATAATTAATATATTTTCAACAATTTGAGCTGAAGCGTGTTGTTTATAAAAGCCTATTGTTTTCTTTGTACTATTCAATACCATCTTTGTACTATTGCAGTTATTTCAAGAGTTTGGCGGATTATCATGAAACATGTAATATATTTCCATGGTGAATTCTCTTTAGAAAACTTTACATTTCAGACGAGTTTTTAATTAAAAGAATGTTTTATTGAAAGAGAACAAAAAGACGAACAATCACCACATTTCATATTTCTTTTTCTATAGAATTTAGCTATAGAATTTAAACTTTCAATTGAAAACGCCTTCATATACTTGGTTCAATTACCGAAACTTTTTATGCTACATTTTCATTTTTGTTGTTGAATAAATATCTCTGATTAGTCAAAATTAAAATTGAAATTGTATTCCTTCTCTCTCTCTCTCTCTCTCTCTCTTTTACTCTGGTGAGTGCAGTGGAGACATTAGAATTCATCAATGCATCAGTCGTCCATCTTGTTATTTTCGATACTGTTGGTATCCTTCCAACCAGCTTCCTCACGTTTGTCTATACTATGCAATTCAATTATTGAAAAAATCGAAGCGGATCCATTCGATTCTAAACAAGTAAAGTACTCTATCGAAGCGCAGGATGAGACTGAGTACTTTATATATGGTGTATTGAAAGTGAAAGTACATAGTTTAAACAAAACGTTTCTGTTGGATGTAAAATCTAGCATCATATCTTCGGAGTATAAAGATATTTGTAGTCTAATGGGTTACGATAATCTTCATTTCTGGGCTGAGAGATGTCATTCAGGAAGGGAAAGTACGAATATCGTCAATTTCATCTCCCAACACTCGAGTTTATCAATAGCGTTTTTATTTGTATTTTTACAGGAAGAACAGAACTATTTTTACATTTTGATAGAAATAAAAAGAAAGTGTTTCTGTTGGTTTAGCAATTTAATAGAATAGACTGGTTAAATTGATTTGAATTTTGCTTTATTATAGATTTAAACACATTCGCCCACAACATAAAACACCAACAGAATTTTGTATGAAATGTTACAAATCAAATAAGCCACGTAAGTTAGAAATTATCGGAGAAGGAATTCGTATAAAATGAAAAATTTTCAAAATTCCAGATGTATTTGGAATTATTAAAAAGATAAGAGCAAAAATTATGGATTTCGATCATCATTCGCACTATTATTCAAATATCTATGTCAGACACAAAAATAAAACGTACAGATTTGAGAGAGTTAAGAGAAAGTACAAAAAAGACGTTTGTTTTGAATCTCTCTTTCAGATTTATATAAATAGACGCCATATAAAATTTGAATGGGACAAATCGTATAAAGTGAAAAAAAGGTCGAATGGAAAATTTAAATATACTGCAGATGATGATGATGAGGGTGATGACGTCAGTTGTCATAATATGTACTTCAGAGCAGACATCTTCAGGCAATCGCCAATTTTTCCTCCTCCTTCGCATTATCAATACGAAACACCGGAAGGTGTTGTTAACATTCCTCTGATATATACAGAAAGCTACGGAACCGTTCCTATGTTGCTCAACTTTGGTTAGTCCATTAAAAAATCTATTTATAGATTTAGCTTCAAATCTATATGTCTTTCACAAATTAGAATATATCGCTTTGGGAACATTTCCAGTTGATTTATGCGAAAAGGCCAATAGAACCTACTATCCAGGATTGAAAAAGTTTGTTGTTAAACCCTTTGAAAAGGAGGTAAAAATGAAAATCCGTTTCTAAGACAACAGGTATAGAAGAGATTACTTATTTGTTTGTTTTTTTTTCCAGTATTGGAAATGCCGTCCTTTGTTTAATTATCATTTAGTTGACAAAAAAAAACCAGTTATTTACCGCTGCGACTACAGCAAAATGAGACTGGTAGAATGTTTTATTGTTGCTGTAGAGACTTTAAGAGTTAGTGGAGAATTTGTGTGCGAAGACAGAAAAGGTCATCACTTTCAAGGTATTTTTTTATTTTTATAGTCATTCCTACAGAATTTCTATTAAGACTATGCGTGTCTGTAGACGGGGATCTAGCTCTATTCAACGGTGAAAATATGTACTACGCTCCGCCCCACAGTCATCTAAATGGGAACAACTACCTAGAGTTTGTAGGAAATGCTCATATATTCTCAAATAATGTTTGGTATCAAATTTGCCCCAATTATTTTAATCATAAAAATACGAAATTCATATGCCAAAGACTAGGATTTAATTCGGGTGTTGGGGTTAAAGGTCAAAGGAGTATCTCGGAAAAGATATCGTTTACGGAAACGACGAGTGCCTGTAAGAATGCGAATGAAACGCAGTTGCCTATTTGCCTTGAAACGTGTCCTTCTATTCGGTACAATCTGGAAATTCCTCAGGCTATTGCCTATTATAATAGTCTAAAGTATGATGGATTAATATGAAAATGACCTTGTATGTTGTGATTAAATAGCAGAAAATAGTAGATTTTTGTTGACATTGACATAAAAAGAGATTAAATTAGTACTTTTGCTTTCCTCTCTTTGCCTTTCCCTCTCTCTCTCTCTCTCTCTCTCTCTCTCTTTCAATAGATGTTTTCTTACAAGTAGAGCTGGACTTTTCATTCAAAGAGTATACAGCTACATCTCCTTCAAACTAGACAATAGATTATTTAGGTGTTAGGGTTAGGGTTAGAAAGGTCCAACTCTGTTTAGAGAATATAAAATACCATTAATCCATATTGTTTACAGACCAGGCATGTATCATTTATCCAACACTATGAAATCAATTATTAAGT